GAGCTACAGGTAAGTTTATAGATTTGATGGCAGGAAATAGAGAAAGTTATTGTTTCAATGTTTCTATTTTCTGTAATGTGGAAGGCAAGATCATTTACTGAGACTGAGGAGGGGTGAGAAGGTTTGGTTCCAGATTTGAAGAAAGAAAATTTGAAGTAGTCTTTAGAGCATGTGGGAGAAAGGACTAACTAGAGAAATTAAGAATCACTAGGCAGTGTTAAGGATGGTAATTATTACATGAATATACCACTTGTGTCATTTTTCTGTGGGAGTATTCATCAGAGTGTAGGCCTGGTGAAGGTAGTTAGTTATCCTAGATTTGGGACTTCGTTAAGTGGGTGCATCAAAGAATAGAAGAGCAAAGGAATTTAGGGGCATGATGTTATTATGTACATGATGATATTGGCCAAACTTACAGATATTTTCCTAGAAGAAAAAAAAAACACCATTCTTTACAAGGTAGTCCTGTTTTGTTTTGTTTTTTTTTTTTGTCTGTGCTGCGTGGCTTGTAGGATCTTAGTATCCCAATCAGGGATCGAAACTGGGCCCTCGGCAGTGAAATCAATGAGTCCTAACCACTGGACCACCAGGGAATTCCTGGTAGTACTATTTTTTTTTTTTTTTTTTTTTAATGGGGTGCGGGGCTCTCACTGTTGTGGCCTCTCCCGCTGCGGAGCACAGGCTCCGGACGTGCAGGCCCGGCGGCCATGGCACACGGGCCAAGCCGCTCCGTGGCATGTGGGATCTTCCCGGACCGGGGCACGAACCCGTGTCCCCTGCATCGGCAGGCAGACTCTCAACCACTGCGCCACCAGGGAAGCCCCTGGTAGTACTATTTTTATAGAAGGGATAAATGGAAACAACTATCTTGGTGGCCAGTCACTAGGGGGAAATGGTATTATTTTCTATAGTGACCACCAAACTGAAACAGTAGCACTGTTTTATACTTTTTATTATGAAAATTTGGAAACTTACAGAAAAATGATGAGACTAATTTAATGTGTTCCTATTGTACTCATCACCTACTTTTAACAGTTTTGACGTATTATTTTTTATCTATTTTTATATTTTTGTTTATACTTAAATATGTATCTCTAAACAAGAACATTTCCCTTTCAAATCACAGTACCATTATTTCATCTAACAAAGTTATCTATAATTTTTAATATCATCTCATACCCAGTCCATATTCAAATTTCCCATTTGTCCCCCAAATGGTTTTATGGATGGTTTGTTCAAACCAGGATCTAATCAAGGACCTTGTGTTACATTTGGTGAAGTCCTTTTTAGACAGAAATCCTGTGTTTTCCAGGAATCTTTTGGGTCTTTGGGCTATTTGTATCTGCCTCGTTATAATCCTCTCAGTTCTATTTCCTATATTCCTGTTGAACTTTCTTTCCAGTTCTGAGGGTCTTTAAATTAGACGCTGCTTTACTCTGGCAAAGTACCCAATGAGTACATTCTTTATAAGAGTCAGAGACACTTTCCCTCCTGATTGACCCAGTGACTGATAACTGACTTACCACAAAATCTATAGCACTTCTTCAGTTGTTGGTGTGAAACTAGAAGCCCTAAAGGAATACTTACTAAAATTTAAGGAAGGGGTTCCTGCATTTGCTTGATAAGGAAATAAGATGGAAGATTGTGCCCTTGTTCTATTAAACCTGTTCAGCATTAAAACTATTATTCTGTACCACTAATTGCTGGGTTGTTAGAGTTTCTGTAGTTCTTTATAAACTTGAGCCCTAAGGAATCTATAAGGATATAAGTAAGGAAAAACTAGAAAGCTGCTTTTTCCAACAAGATATGCCTACTTTTACTGCTGCATTAGATCTTCATAAGGACTTCTAACATTGCACTTTTGAAGGACCCTGAGATTTTTAGGGCCATTTTATGCATTCATATTTAATGATCACTTTATTTTGCATCTTCCTGCCCCTGTGAAGTCTTTGGAACAACTAAAGTATAAACACAGTTCATTCCATGGAATTCTAGATATACTTTCTTTTTTTAAAAAAATATATTTTATTTATTTATTTATTTATTTTTATGGCTGTGTCAGGTCTTGTGGCACGTGGAGTCTTTGATGAGACATGCAGGATCTTTTTTTTTTTTTAATAAATTTGTTTATTTATTTTTGGCTGTGTTGGGTCTTTATTGCTGTGCTCGGTTTTTCTCTAGCTGTGGCGAGCGGGGGCTACTCTTCATTGTGGTGTGTGGACTCCTCATTGTGGTGGCTTCTCTAGTTGCAGAGCACGGACTCTAGGTGCACAGGCTTCAGTGTGGCATGCGAGCTCAGTAGTTGTGCCTTGCGGGCTCTAGAGTGCAGGCTCAGTAGTTGTGGCACACAGGCTTAGTTGCTCTGAGGCATGTGGGATCTTCCTGGACCAGGGACTGAACCCATGTGGCTTGCATTGGCAGGCGGATTCTTAACCACTGCGCCACCAGCGAAGTCCCACGGGATCTTTAGTTGTGGCGTGTGGGCTGTTCATTGCGGCGCATGGGCTTCTCTCTAGTTGTAGCATGTATGTTTTTTCTTCTCTAGTGGTGCACAGGCTCTAGAGCACATGGGCTCTTTGTTGTGGTGCACAGGCTCCAGAGCACGTGGGCTCTGTGGTTTCAGTTTCAGTACATGGGCTGTCTAGTTGAGGCACGTGGGCTTTAGTTGCCCCATGGCACGTGAGATCTTAGTTCCCTGACCAGGGATTGAACCCGCGTCCCCTGCATTGGAAGGCGGATTCTTTATGACTGGACTACCAGGGAAGTCCCTCTAGATATACTTTCAACCAAAAATAAATTTAATATCTGGATAGAATATTTTCTACAGATAAATGGTGTGTATAACTAGGGACCTATAATAATAAACTGCCAGTCTATAATAAGTTGGCAATCAGTCAAAAGTATCTATAAGTGTATTATTCTATTAGTGGGGCTTATTTTTACTGTGATTTGCAGAAAGGGTTTTTATACTTTTTGGTACCCATATCGTATCATATGCCATTATTATCTCAGGACCAAGACCAACAAGGAAGAAGTCTGTGTTGGGACAAAAAGGATTACCTAGGAAAGGGAATCTCTAGTTTCTTTATAGGTTGTACCAATTTCCTTAGCAATTTACTAAATTCTACCTTGTGTGTAAAATATTTTTGTCATCTGAAGTCTTTTGGAACTCTAGAGATGTATGAGCCATGGACTTTTGTTTGACCAAAGGGAAGGTATGTGTCTCCTTTAATATTCTCTAGTACTATATCTCTGTTCTAACTCCTGTCTCCAGACTTTGGGTAGAGGCAGGGGCAAATTCTCTTGTTCAGTTAAACTTTTTGATGTTGTGTTGAGTCATCGTTGCTGTGCACAGGCTTTCTCTAGTTGTGGCGAGCAGGAGCTACTCTTCCTTGCTGTGTGAGGGCTTCTCATTGTGGTGGCTTCTCTTGTTGCGGAGCATGGACTCTAGGCGCATGGGCTTCAGTAGTTGTGGCACACAGGCTCAGTAATTGTGGCTCGTGGGCTCTAGAGCGCAGGCTCAGTAGTTGTGGCGCATGGGCTTAGTTGCTTCGCAGCCTGTGGGATCTTCCCGGACAAGACCTTGAACCCGTGTCCCCTGCATTGGCAGGCATATTCTTAATCACTGTGCCACCAGGGAAGCCCTCTATAGACTTTTTTTTTTTTGCAACTGTAATATAACTTTATTTCACTTGGTAAAAGCCAAAATTGATAGTTCTTAACATGGTATGTGGAGATCAAAATTAAAGAATACAAAGTACCTTAAAAAAAAGCATTCAGGGGCTTCCCTGGTGGCGCAGTGGTTGAGCGTCCGCCTGCCAATGCAGGGGACACGGGTTCATGCCCCGGTCCAGGAAGATCCCACATGCCGCTGAGCGGCTGGTCCCGTGAGCCATGGCCGCTGAGCCTGCGCGTCTGGAGCCTGTGCTCTGCAACGGGAGAGGCCACAGCAGTGAGAGGCCCGCGCACCGAAAAAAAAAAAAAAAAAAGCATTCAGCTCAATCCTGGTTCTTTCAATATTACTGCCAAACTTCTGTGAAAGAAGCCTTGTAATAAAGACTAACAGCAACATAGAAGATGATTTAAAAAAAAAAAAGTTCATTTAACAATCTAGAAAAAAGAAAGTGACTATAATACTTGATGACAGACATCATGTTTAAGTAGAAAACACAAAGATAGAAAAAAGTAATATCTCTGAAAATATTGCACAACTTCAGGTGTTTCCTCCAAATTTGCTTTATGTAATTGGATATAAATTAATGAACAAAAACTTAAGCAAGATACATGTAACAATTTAACAGAACCTGATAATCTAATTTCTTTCCATTTTTCTCAAACTCATTGTGGGGCTTATAAGAAAATTAACCAACATAGATGCTGCTACAGTTGAATGTTAAATCTTTAAGTGCTTATGACATACTAAATTCTTCTATAATGCAATTATGAAGAACCCTTCAAGAGACTTGTGTTTTATATGTAGAAAAGTGTTAAAGTCAAATATTCAACTCAGTATAAAATAATAAGAAACATTTCTGATTGTTGGGTTGAGATTGCTTCTCCTTTTGCTAATGAATGATTTTTTTAGCTGTAATATCACTGAGTTGAACAAATATGTCACCTTTGAGTACATTAAGAAAAATAAACACATGCTAAATGGATAAAACATTACAACTACATCCTTACTAGACCATCTCTACTTCTAACACTTCAGAAGCTTAGAGATTCAGTGTTCTTATATTAACTGCAAGAAAAAGATAAAAGAGAAATTCCTTCTTTTTTTTTTTCTTTTTTTTTTTTTTTTTGCGGTACGCGGGCCTCTTACTGTTGGGGCCTCTCCCGTTGCGGAGCACAGGCTCCGGACGCGCAGGCTCAGCGGCCATGGCTCACGGGCCTAGCCACTCCGCGGCATGTGGGATCTTCCCAGACTGGGGCACGAACCCACGTCCCCTGCATCGGCAGGCGGACTCTCAACCACTGCACCACCAGGGAAGCCCTCCTTCTTTTTTGAGATCACAACTATGAAGTCATGTGGTTATACAAATTCTGCATTTGTGTGCAAAACATGAAACACATTTATCTTAATTCTCCCTGCTTAGAATTGTCAGTCAACTAGCAGGACTGTTCTTCCAAGAAACAGAAACAGAGATGTGTTTTACATAACTTCAATAACCTCAGCACTACAATACAGGGAAGGAGGTCACAGGAAAGAATAAATCAAAATTGTTACAACTGAGAAACTTTTTTCAGTTTAACCATGGTGCCACTTTCATTTTTACATAAGCATGGTGGCATAATTCAAGCTCAATAAATCAGAATTCTTAATGTTTGAAATTTACCTTGACTTTTAGTTATCACCATATTAACAACCAAAATAATTAGGTGAAACACATAAGAAAGGGTAATATTAAATCCCACTTTACTAGAGTTGGTTTCTTGACACATTAACTCATTTTTTTATAGAAAAGGGATAGTGCATCTCAGCTTGCTTACACACTAGGAGATCACTTTGAATTCTGCATTTCCTAACTGCAAACAGATATAGCACTTATAACAGGTTATAAATAAAGTGGTTTTCAAGCATAGAGCCAGCCCCAATGATAATAATACACTATTTAAAAAGACCTAAGGCAATGAATTCCATTTCCAGTGGATAAAAGAACTGTACAAACAAGCTTAAAACTACTTTTTTTGTGCCAGTGTTGTAAAATGTAGCTTTTAATAAAACCTTGACCCAAATGCCAGCAACTTGAGAAAATAATTTGGGTGGGGGGAAGAAAATTACTTCATTTAGGAAAAACAACCACTATCTTTTTCCTAATCTTCGACATACACAATTTAAACTTATACAGCTGCTTTAACACTTTACACAATTCCTATGTACTGGAGCAATAACAAGATCTAAATACAATTATATTCTTGAACACTGGGTCAAGGCTTTACATAAAAATACCTTCCTACTTTTCCCCCTAAGTTTCTAAAATATCACATACTTTTCCCCAACAGCTGCAGCCATTCAGGAATATTTAGGAAACTTTAGTGCATGATCTTAATCCCTAATCCCTGGCTTTTTGGGCTCAGTGACAAAAGATCAAAACCACCAAAAATGATGGTTCACTTGAAGTCAGATGAGAGACCCTGGCTCAGTCAGTCTCGTAGGACGAAAGCAGTGCTGCATCAACGGGCTTCATGCAGGAGGGGCATGTGAAGGATCTCATCATCCAGTCGTCCATACAGTCCAGATGATAGATGTGCATGCACGGGAGAAATCGAATTGGGTCCCCATGAACAAAGTCCATCATACAGATCACACACTCCCAGATCTTTTTTTCTGATCCATCTCTTCCAGGTTCATAAACTCCTTTAGGCAGATGCTGTATAAGGCCTATTCTTTGAGCTATCCTAATTTGTTCCTCTTCAGTCAGCTGAGTTGCTAGGCGAGTCTGGCTAGGTGTTGGATGATAGACCAGAACTGGAACTTGTTCCTGATATGGCAGCGGCGGCTCCTGATCCCGCTCAGTCCCCTCGCCAAAGCTAGCCCGGTCGGACTGAGACTCGTGAAGCAGGGAGATGTCATGCGAAGTGGGGGATTTGAGGCAGTTCCCCATCTTCCGGGTCTGGAGTGTGTGATCTGTGCGCTGTTTTGACAGTCTTCTCCCCTCCATAGACTTTTTAATTAGGCCTTCTGTCATCACAGAGTCACAGAGGATGTGTGAATTAAATTGATTTTTTCCCTATTATACTTTTTTCCTATTCTTGATTTTTATAATAATTTACCAGTCAACTTCACACTTCTCAACTGTGTATGGATCTATGGTGGTTTTTTTTTTGCGATACGCGGGCCTCTCACCGCTGCGGCCTCTCCCACTGCGGAGCACAGGCTCCGGACGCGCAGGCCCAGCGGCCATGGCTCACGGGCCCAGCCGCTCCGCGGCACGTGGGATCTTCCCGGACCGGGGCACAAACCCGTGTCCCCTGCATCGGCAGGCGGACTCCCAACCACTGCGCCACCAGGGAAGCCCGGATCTATGGTTTTGATTGCACAGCCTCTCATGACATTTTTCTCTGACAGCAGATACTAGTTGACTTCCTGTTTTTGGAAACTCCTCTTATTTCTAGTTTTGTGGTTTACCATTCCTAAACTCTGGACAAGTACCTCTTCCATTACTAGCAAAGCAATCAAGTCCAGCTCTTGTTAGTTATTAGTTGTAATAGCACTCTCCATGAACCCTTGATTAAACTATTCTTCTCTCACCTGTCCATTGGCAAAAATACATATACCCCTAATTTCTATCTTGTATGTTACCTTGCTCCATGTAATTCCATTTAATCTTGTACAGTTAAACTGGGCAGATCATTTTGGCAAATCCACATTGAGTACATGATCCTACGAAGATCTGTGCTTTTCATCAGCATAACTAAGATTAGGATCTGAAAGTAGCAGGAGGAGATGCTAGTGAGAGTGCACATGCTTTCAGGGCCATTCTTGTGGTTCTAAATAGTAAGATGACTTTTAACCAGACAGGAAATTTGAAAGTATAAAAATGGGCTGTAAATAAATCCGCACTTTCCTAGAAACAGACCTATTTTGGTCTGTTCTGCTTCGGGATTCTTATATATATAACTCTATATCCAAGATATAGCTATTCCTTTTTATTTTAATGATCCTCCTCCGCTTCTCTAATACTTCCTGCTTGCTCTTTTTTTAAAAAATAAATTTTAAAATTTATTTTTGGCTGCGTTGGGTCCCCGCTGCTGCATGCGGGCACTTTACAGCCGCGGCAAGCGGGGGCCAGCCCTCGCCGCGGCACGCGGGCCCCTCACCACGGTGGCCTCTCCCACCACAGAGCACAGGCTCCAGGCATGCGAGCCTCAGTAGCCGTGGCCCACAGGCTCAGCATTTGTGGCCTAAGGGCTCTAGAGCACAGGCCCAGCAGTTGTGGCACACGGGTCCAGTCCAGTCGCTTCGCGGCATGTGGGATCCTCCCAGACCAGGGATCGAACCTGCGTTCTCTGCACTGGCAGGCAGACTTCCAACCACCGCACCACCAGGGAAGCCCCCCTGTTTGCCCTTGAGTAAAATAAACTACTGATTCCTTGGCCTCTGTCTAGATCACCTAGCTTCTAGATCTTTGGTTAAATAACGACATCTGCCTAGTTCTTTCCCCATCGTGACTCCCCCTTGATCATCCCTTTCCCATATCAACTTTTATATCCATGTCTTGACTGTTTCCTCTACCTCTTGTTTTTAAATTATTGACAACTCTCTGAAGTATATTCGAAACCAAGGTGTTTTTTAAGGTTGGCTTTTATTAGTTTGCTTTTTTACTTTACATTTAAGGATTAGAAGTGAGAGTTAGTTTAGGAGATACAGTTCAAGATAAGTACTAAAGCCATATTAAAGAAGTAAAATAAGTTTGTCCATTCACTTTTCTCTTCAACTAAGACTATGGTGGGAATTTTTTTTCCACAGAAGGCTACACTTAAGTAAAAATTCACCTAATTTAGATATTTTTAAAAGGTAGTTAATATATCAAAAATTGTCACTTTTTTTTTTTTTTTTTTGGGCCGTGCCACGCACCTTGTAGGATCTTAGTTCCCCGACCAGGGATCAAACCCATGGGCCCTGCAATGGAAGCGTGGAGTACTAACCAATGGACCACCAGGGTATTTCCAAATTGTCACTTTCTTTTAAAAAAATTTTTTAGAGGCAGGAAGGGGAAAGAAATGTGGTAACAGAAAAGTGATTCCAACAGTACAGGCAGAGAGATCCAGCTTTTCCTTTTAAATAAGAGGCAGGAAAAGGAGATAGATAAAGAAACCCAGATAGATTTAGGGGCTGTTCACGTGCCCTGCATTATACTAAGCATTTTACGTTCATTATCTCATTTAATTTTCACAACTTCCCACTTTACATCTGAGAGAACAGGCTTAAAGCCCTGAGTAACTTGCTCAAGACCACACAGCTTGTAAACAGCTCCAGTCTGACTTTTAACTTCACACTCTCAACAGCTCTGCCTCTCTGGGTGGGTAAGAAAGTTACTTGTAGGTGAGATTGATGTTTGTTAAGTGGGAGTAAAGTTCATCTTTCAATTTATAAAATTCCTTAGAAATCCTCTCATCTCACTGATTCTATATCACTTTATAAGAAAAGAAGACTAAGGTCCAAAGACTTTAAATAATTCAAATCCAAGCTAGTTAACCAGAAATATTCAGGCAGTGCTTTGCTCTGTATTTTAAAGGCTGGAATTACTTTATTTTTGTATTACATTATCAGGTTTTCTTCTATTTTACCAATTTACAAAATGTGATAGTATTATGTATATTGTTAATAAAAGTAACGTATATACTCTATATAGAATTATCAGAGTATTTTAGATAGAACAGGTTTTCGTTCAGTCTTCTTTTGTGATTTAATTGCCCATTTTTAAAAAAATTTAAAAAATTATCTAATGTCATTTGTTTTTATGTAATAATAAACATACATTTTATACATTAATAAACAATTTAATATATGCATTCTGTATTTTTTTGTGAAATTAATATTTTAGAGACTGGTGAGTCAGATTAGGCAGAAGATTTAAGGCTTAGAAAAGAAAGCTTTGGCTAGATAATATTAACAAAAGTGCTGGGATACAAAAACAAGAAACATTCTTTTTTTTTGTTTGTTTTTTTTGTTGCGGTACGCGGGCCTCTCACTGTTGTGGCCTCTCCCGTTGCGGAGCACAGGTTCTGGACGCGCAGGCTCAGCGGCCATGGCTCACGGGCCCAGCCACTCCGCGGCATGTGGGATCTTCCCGGACTGGGGCACAAACCCGTGTCCCCTGCATCAGCAGGCTGACTCTCAACCACTGCACCACCAGAGAAGCCCCCAAGAAATATTCTTGATGGTGATTTAATTGTAGACTCTCAGGAACAAATGGGCCTAAAGTATTCAGTACTATACTGACACATGCTTTGTTATTTTAAGTAATAACCAGCATTGTTGACAGTGGACCAGTTACAGACTTTTTTTGATAAATGTCAAGATCTAAAAGAGGAAGAAATTGAGGCTGATGGTCCATGAGAAGACAGGTCACCTATACCAAGAAATGGATACTTTTAGTTAAAACTTTTAAATATTCATGTGCTATGGATGATAGTAGCTTTCAATAGAAACGCTCCCAGAATTTACCTATCCTAAAGTGTCATTTGGAGGAAAATTATTGATAAGATTATAGTTCCTTCCCAACAAACAGCCAATCTAATATATGATCTATACAAAATAAACTGTAAAACTTACATATTATATAATATGTTGAAATGCATTGTGATAAGTATAAAGAGAAGGGTCAGATCTATTCAGTGGAAAATCAGTTTTTCTCTTAAATTATCCCAGAACAAGGTAGACCCTAACTGGGTATTAAAAATATGTTAAGGGGCCTCCCTGGTGGCGCAGTGGTTGAGAGTCCGCCTGCCAATGCAGGGGACACGGGTTCGTGCCCCGGTCCGGGAGGATCCCACATGCCACAGAGCGGCTGGGCCCGTGAGCCATGGCCGCTGAGCCTGAGTGTCCGGAGCCTGCGCTCCACAACGGGAGAGGCCACAATGGTGAGAGGCCCGCGTACCGCAAAAAAAAAAATAAAAAATAAAATGTTAGGTAATGACACTGCATGGGTGAATAAAACATGACTGTGGTCCTCAAGGAGCTTAAAATGTATTAAGAGAGATGATTAAGTAAACAGACAACTGCAATTCAATGTATAAAGTGCTATAATACTGTTAAGTCCAGGATTCTATGAAGTCACATAAAAGGGGCACTAATACCAGAGTAAGGTGGGATCATTACTACCCATGATATGAATCCTCAAGCACTTAGCATAGTGCTAAGCATATGGTAGGCATTCAATATTTGATAAATTGGAACATACCTGATTTAAAAAACAAAACAAAACATGAGCCTGGACTTAATTTTTTCTTAAAACAATGTCTTTAAACTTTATACCAAAATGTGTTTCTTTATGAATCCTTTTCATGTTGCAATAGTAATTTCAGTGACCTTGTAAATTAATCAGTACCTACAGCTGATTCTTGAATGTAACTGCTACTAGACAACAGGAAAGACTGTACTTCAGGAGGAGCTGTGTCCCATAGTGCTGGACACATAGTAAATGTTCAAAAATAACAACTACTTAGTTTTTTTTAAAGCTTCAGAATTTATTCAGTAATTCTCTACCCTCACCACCAAATTCTTTAAAGGAATTTCTTATTATTAATTATTAAGATTGTGTATAAGTGAGAACTTGAAAAGTATGATTCTTGTGCAATAATAAACACTATATTAACCAGTGGGAACTCTGAACAAGTAAATGAAAGTTGTCCTTGGCAAATCTGAAATAAAAATGGCTTACAAATGTTATATGGTATACTAGGGACACTTTACATATGATTGGAGTTAAAACTAATGCATATGAGCAATTAGAGATCAATGCTAAATTCTATGGTAATGACTGTAAATACATTATGACTTCATTGATTAATTCAATAAATATTAGGCTTCAACTTTATGATACAGCCTAAACTAGGCCCAGAGATAGATTAAAAAATATAGTCTGGGGAACGAGGAAGAAAACATAATCATTGTACAGTGTGATTTAATGCTACTATAGAAAAAGTACAAAGTACTGTTGGTGTATAAATTAAGAGCAGCTAATGGTGCAGAGAAGGAAAAATTGGTATGAAATGGATTAGTCATATGTGCTTAATTTTTTTAAAAAACAGGCAATATGATATAATTTTATTGTGACTATATCTTATTTGTTATCTGATGTATTTTTTAGGAACTTGTATAGTATTTTTCTATTTTGTGAAAGGAGATTAAAAAACTCCAAGGGCTATTTATAAGTTATGAATTAGTTGAACATGCCAAGAACTCCTATTTCTCATCATACTGTAGTGTACCTTTTATAAACTATATTCAAAGCCAAGTGGATATAATTCAGTGAGCAAATAAGATATCTACTTGGTCAACTATTTAGTAGGTTGTGCAGACCTAACTAGTAGGAATAATTATATGTTTTAAAAAGATTATACAGTTTCTCTTAAATATTAACTAGCTTTGATCAACTTAACAGTCCTTTTTCTTATTTCTTATTAAGGGTCTGCTGTATTTGTTGGTAACAGACCAGGGGTTTCTCACTGAAGAAAAAGTTGTTTGGGAAAGCCTACACAATGTCGATGGTGATGGAAATTTCTGTGACTCAGAATTTCATCTGCGGCCTCCTTCTGATCCGGAAACTGTATACAGAGGACAACAAGATCAGATAGATCAGGTAAATTTGTTGTTTTATCTTCTTCATATTGTTTAAAGTGCTCATTCCTTTCAAATGTGAATTTAGTTATCCAAATTTTTGAACTAAAAGTTGTTCATTAATATACTTGTGAAATTTTCCTGACACTTCCTAAATAGGTAAGTGATTATTCTACATGTACATTAATTGTACACTTTGGTTCAGAAGACCAGATTATATTGAACTGTGAAGGTCATGGTAAAGAGTTTAAATTTTATTCTAATTGTAGTAGGGAAGGTATGCGAAGTATTAAACATGGAAGTGACATGATCTACTTTACCTTTTTTTTAAATTGAGGTAACATTAGTTTATAACATTATATGTTTCATGTGTATAACAGTATGTTTCTACTTCTGTAAAAAAATATGGAATGCTTCACAAATTTGAGTGTCATCCTTGCATAGGAGCTGTACTAATCTTCTCTGTATCGTTCCAATTTTAGTATTTATGCTGCTGAAGCGAGCACTACTTTACCTTTTTAAAAACCTGCTATGTGGCAATTGCATAGGAAGGACACGGTTGTAAGCAGACTAGCAGTCCAAGCAAGAGGTGATGATGGCTTAGCCTTGGTGGTAGAGATGAAGAGACAAGTACATATTTGAGATCTATTTTGGTTAGTCAGAAAAAGTAGAAAAGAGGGAATCTTGAAGATAGCATACACTGGATAAAGAGTAGGGGGGTGTTCTAAGCCTTAGAGTCCAAGGTAAGGAGGAACAGACACTTACAGCAGGAGCTGCACTACTGAGCAGAATTCTTATTTGGAACTGAAACAGATGAGATTTTTGCCTGCTATTGGTTGGTAGGCTTAGAGCCACAAGTGTGTTTATTACTAGAAGTATAACAGTGATGTGACATTTTCCTCAACTGAGGCAGAAATATGTTTATGTTAAACAGTTGGCACATGTTTTGCTGATAACAATTTAAGTGCATAGAGACTGTGTTCATTTAACCATTATTCATTGAGCAGTTGTACTGAGCACTATAACTGCACCCTGGGGACACAAAGATAAATCATTCAGTCCTGTCCTCAAAGATTCTTCAGTCTAGTTGGGGAGACAGGTATTTGACCAACTAATATCATATGTTAAGTTCTATAATGGTAATTTGAATAGCAAGCTATGAATGGATGAAAGAATACTTGATTCAAACAAATACTAATCTTTCTAGGACTCTTGGCCTTCCTTTGACAAACAGCCATAATAATCAACATACTCATTTTCCTTCGGAAGATATACAGGAGCATGGTTTTTTAAGTGTTACTTAAGAGAAATATACAGGATTTTTCTAACTACTGTGTGTAAAAAATATTGGCACAGGAATGAAGTAAAGCAATAGATTGCCACAGTAATCTAGCCGTAAGGTGTTGAGAATACATGTATGATATTGTCTTTAAAAGTAGCAATGAAGGGACTTAGCAAAGAGCAGAGTTTGAAGAATTGAGGAGAAAACTTTGAAGGACAAATTCTTGATGTCAGTAAGATAATCATGCTAGATAGTACAAGGTCTTCACAGGCAACAACCTTTTACATATCCTCTGTGGTTATTTAAAATTCTCTTATTTTGAGGGTAGATTGGGGGAGGTGCACAAGAGTAGTCAAGTTTCATTCAGCACTAATTCTTAATAAAAGTGGATGTTTTGTTAGATAATATAACTTTTGACCAAAGATGCATCACTTTCTCTCATAGGAAATAATCTGGGGGTGTGTGTGGGAGGAGAAAGGCATAGTTAAGTAACTGAATATGATTGTATGATGGACAGCTATGTTGGCTTTAAAAATCATCTTTTGGGAGAATATTTAATAAATAATCTTGGGAAGTTCTTATAACCTTTTTTTAAACAGAAGACTTTTATAACATTAAATGGAAAAGAAAGCAGATTATGATAGTTTCAGGGGTTGGGAGATGTGTTTGTGTTTGTATGTGAATATAGAAAAAAATGATTAATATATAACAATTATATATTAATTGTTAACAGTAGTTGGCTCTGTGTAATGATATTATGGTAATCTTAACTTTCTTATTTATGCTTTTTTACTTTGTAACAATTTTCTACAGACATGTGGTTTTTTTTTTTAAGCTTTTCTGAATGCCTTATATACTGCTTCTAGAAGGAATTTCAAATGAATATTTAAAATATTTATAACAATGGCAACATCACTGAAATAATTTCATACCTCCCAAACAAATATATAGAAAACTTCTATTTTTACATTTACCCTCTGGTATGTTTTTTAAAAGCCACTCTGATAGGTTTGTAGATATAACCCCTATATTTCACACACGTTAGTTCTTGGATAAAATCTCATAGCTAAAAATGTTTATCATTTAATTTCTTAGGACTATCTTATGGCATTATCTCTACAACAAGAACAGCAGAGCCAAGAGATCAATTGGGAACAAATACCTGAAGGAATCAGTGATTTGGAACTAGCAAAGAAACTCCAAGAAGAAGAGGACAGACGAGCTTCTCAATATTACCAGGAACAGGAACAAGCAGCAGCAGCTGCTGCTTCTGCTTCTACACAGGCCCAGGTAAAAACTAGTGTTCTGATCCTTAAATATAATGATCACTTTAGCAATAAAGAAATTTGTGCTGAGATAAAAACTTTTAAGTTAGGTATTGACTCTGTTAGCATTTTTAGCATCCATGGATTTTATGACATTGTTCTAAGTTTGTGATTATCTTAATATATTTCTAATTTAGTTAATTTTACTTTTTCTGAGGTTCTGATGGGAAGATTTTCCAAATTTATTAAGTTCTTAATAGCTTCAAACAATATAAACCAATATGAACAAATCTTTCCTATCAATTAGAAGGCAGTATGAGGTACTGCTGGAAAGAATGTAGACTTTGGAGCCAGATAAATGTGGATTTGCATTTTCTGCTTCTGTCTCCCCTTACTAGGTGCAACATGGACAAAGTCCTCTACGTCTCTTAGCTTCATTTTCCCTATCTGGAAAAAAGAAGATAATACTTAACCCTTAGGTTTGTGGTTAAGAATAAATAATGTTAGCATTTAATCCAATGTTTGACATGTGCTAAGTATTCAACAAAGGTTAGCACCTTTCCACTTTCCCCAGCTAAATGTTTTAAGCACTGAAAATGTAACTAAGGGGGTTTCTATTTCTTAAATCTCATTTCATTAAATGAAAAAAGTATTCCCCTTCTTTTATGTTTGTACCATGCTAGAACTATTCCTTTGATTTGGGTATTCAAGAAAGCTTGATGCCCTTTAAGATCTGATGAAACTTTAAATATAGAGGTCTCTATTAAAATAGGTATAACATTTCTATTTCTAGAAATATTGACTACTCCAAGCTTAAAATTTAAAACCTACCATGTTATGATTAGCTTTTCACTAAAAAAGTTCTCTCATTGCACAGAATACACATTTCACACTCTGAGTCCTCAGGGGTTTTTTTCCCTCCTTTTAAAATCTGTTTATTATAGTATTTAATGAGATCTTGGAAAACTATTGTAGCTTGCCAAAAGGTGTCACTTTCTTTAACATTTCCTAAACTTTAACATAAGTTATCTTGAATTTGAGTCTTCAGGCAATATAATGCTATATGTTATTTATTGTTTGAAGTTCCATTTACTTAGAATAATGGATACATTAATTATATCTATTCTGAATGATAGAGGCAGTTATTCAGATACCATATCACATAACAAGTCTATACACCAATAGCCTTTTTCCACTAATAATTCATTTCACTCCTGTAGTTTTTCTTTCTAGATAACTATGCTTAAGCATCTTGGAAAAATTGTGGTAATTTTTTCCTGTTTATTTTTCTTAAAGCAAAGCCAGCCAGCACAAGCCTCTCCATCGAGTGGCAGACAATCTGGGAATAGTGAACGTAAACGAAAGGAACCTCGAGAAAAAGATAAAGAAAAAGAAAAGGAAAAAAATAGCTGTGTCATTTTGTAACAAGTGTGGGTCATGTTGGAACCATCTGTATGTCTTCAGAAACAAAACCATAGGAGGAAAGGAAGAAAAACCGATAAATACCGTCTGTGCCTGATTTCCCAATGGATTTTGTTCATGTTTTTCAGGGGAAAGGTTGTTACTTAGTTACAATCAGACTTTTTCAAGTCACACAGTACACTCTTCATGAGCTGGAGTTTCATGTTACAAGTTGAAAATGCTGTGTGTTGTCATTCATGAAAAATAATGCACTTGTAGCCAAATAAGCAAATCACAGCAAATTTGTGTCATAGTGACATTCATAACTCATATCAGTTAGTAAGCTATTTCATCTTCTATTCTAACAATGAATAGTATTCATTGTTTCCTTCCTCAAATCTAAATATTAGCACAATAATTTCTGAAATTAATTTTTACAATGTTAAATTATGGTCTAATCCATGAGAAACCAGGGGTTTAATATAGATTTAAAAAGAAAAGAAAAGACACAAATAACAAGAATAAATAACCCTCAATTATATATTGGACTAGTTCAGCCCTTGAACAGCTTTACGTTTCTTTAGGAATGTACATTTTAGATATATCTTGAGAACTGATAATGGAGCTTGGATTTAATTTAGATAGAAAAAAAAAGATTTGTATTTCTTTTCCAATAAAAAAAAATTACATAACACCAATACTCATCAAAATCAAATCTTAATAACTTTGTAGTGTTATAAAATTTGAGGAATTTTGAAATCTTTAATAAAGGTTACTTGGACCACAGTTACTATTTATTGATAGTGTGATAAGTGAGTATAAAGAGGAAACCATGTGGATGCTAGGCCTTGTAAATATGGAGATGTAGAAATAGAAAAGGAGATAGTTCAGTGTCTACCTTTTTCTAAAATTACCTTGAACCTTAAATTTTAAATGTTTATTTTCTAGAAAATTAAGTATACTTATTAAAACCAACAAAAAAGCACATTTTTGAAATGATGTTAGATACTCTCTCAGTGTAGTGGAAAAACATTAGTAAAAATCTGTTTGAGGATAAGAATCTGGAGGAATTTATGTAGAAGCAATCAGATTATTCTAACTTATGAGAACCAAATAAACCTATAACATCTTATAGTGTTTCTAGGATTCAGAAAGAATATTTATTGAACTTTATTATGAGGCAACACATATTTTCCTGTATTTCTATAGTTTGGAAAACTATCCTTAATAGTCCTTTTTATATGCTTTATATTTAAAAGTTTGTTTTAGTCATTTTTGAAAAGACTGTTGCTGCTGCAAGTAGTTACGTGATTTACATTCTAAGCCTCAGTAAATTTGTTTGTTCAAGAGCATCTTAATCTAACCTGAGCATCCACTTGGAGAATGCTTTTTGTGGTCTGGGGTGACAAAAGACTACACAAAAAATGTGGTCTTGATTTCTTAAGCTATGTCCTTAACATTCTCCGTGATCCAGGACCAGATATAAGATAAATCTATATGTAAAAAGTAAAGTCTTATTTATGGAAGAAATTATTCTAAGGGAAATATCCAGGGTCAA